AAAACTGTACTATATACATCCTTAAATCGTCATCTTGATTTTAGCTTACACGTTGACTGACCTAAACACACTAGACAATTCTTAATTATTGTGAAGTTGTAGGCAATGGAGACTACGCATTATGGATTTAATATTACTTTCATATATAACAGTACTAGTAACAAGAAATTGCATTTCATCTTAGCTGCAAATTTCAAATAAACCGTAAGTGCTTATAATAACCACAATCCTAATCAATAGTTGTAGCACAAACAAAACAAAAATTACACAAATCAAAATCTTCTGAAGTTTATCTGTTTATGGTTGCCCTCCATAACCCAAACCGTTTCTTTTAGTGAAGAATATTCAAAGTATTTTGCGTGTGAAGTACAACTCATTGGCCTGATTCCATCTTGCTTAATTGGATTGATGGCATTGCCCTACAGATGGCACCGAACAAATTGCATTTCATCTTATTTTGTCACAGAAGAAATATAACTCTCCCTTAGTTTGTTTTTTCGTTGTACAATTCTTATAGCCAGTTTTCCTCTCATGGCATCATCGTTTTTCAATAAATATCTAATCCAACTTTTCATGTCCCATGTTCCCACTTCCGACTTAACTTATATTTGAAGAATACATATTATTCTTAAAATATCAATGTGAAGCACAATATCAAAATCATAAGCAGAGATAGTGTTATATCAACTTCATTAACATGGATTTCACGGGCCCCCCTAGGATATAAAACCAACTACATACATGCCCTCTCGAATTATGCCTTTTGTCTCACTTTGTGTTCTCTCTCTATTAACAATAATATGCATCTACATATGTATGTATATAGGTATATCGAAAGATAGACATATATATGTATACAGATAAAGAGAGACTAACAAGGAGAATGTGTCTGGGGTAAAGAATATAGAAAGAGAGAATTTAAAGAGAAAATGTACCTTGCACACTTTGCTATTGAACCTTGTAGAGAGAGTGCAAAAGATGGTTTTTGAGGGCATCAATGTTAAAAAGGTAGGATTTTAAAAATGGCGACCAAAACATTTTTTTTGTAAAAGTTGTTTGGGTCAAAGAAGGTGATTTTGGAGATTTGATTTTTTAAGCTTGATGTCAGAGTTTGTTATTCTAGATATTAACGACAGGTAGACATCTGGATCATTTATGTAATGTACTATAAATGTAAAGGATCTTTGTGGAATGTTAGAGGGTCATCGTGTCATTTGGCCCAAGGGAAGGGGCTATATAAAATTAGCCCATAGTAATATTGTTGTATTTATTTTGGAGCACTTATTACAGTTATGACAAGGGGGACAATCATAATAACCCTATAAGCCATCAATGTCACAAATACATAGTTTGATAGGCTACATAACAATACATGAATAGAAAAATAAAAGCAATACAAGAATGGTGTTTAGTACAAGATCATTAAGGAACACAGAAGATTTCTAGTTTTCACTCAAGTTCTGTTATGACTTCCAACTTCTATTGAATTGATCTTCCTGGTATGATTGCATTTACCTATACTGAACTTGTAGTAGCAAAAAGATTTGGAGGCATTGCCAACTTATCTTCTGCTCCAGCTAGCATTTGAACCACCAATTTAATGGAAAGACGCTTTGATGGATTCCATTGAATACACCAGAGTCCAATAATATTAAGCTTCCTTACTATCTTAGCATCTCCATCGTCCTCTTGTGTACGCGCTCCTTCCAAATGATTCATTGGAGAAGCTCATACTTTCACAAAGCTTTGAGACTAATCCCCTTGGTTGGAAGAAGCTTCAAGAGATTGCTTTAGGCATAGCCAAAGGAATCGACTATCTTCACCTGGGGTGCGAACAAAGAATCCTTCATTTTGATATTAAACCAAATAATATCTTGTTGGACCACAACTTAAATCCAGTTGTCTTTGATTGTGGTTTGACCAAGTTGTGTTCAAAACAAGAAAGCGTCATCTCTCAAATTGTCGCTAGGGGAACAATGGGCTACATAACACCCGAAATATTATCTAGTGATATGAAACTTTTCCAACTTTATTGGATAATATTTCAGGCTCTATGTAACCCATTGTTCCCCTAGCGGCAATTAGAGAGACGACGCTTCTTTGGTTTGAACACAATTTTGTCAAACCAAAATTAGAGATCTTGGGATTGAAGTTGTAGTCCAACATGATATTATTTGGTTTAATATCAAAATGAAGGATTCTTTGCTCGTACCCTTGGTGAAGATATTCTATTCTTTTGGCTATGCCTAAAGCAATCTCCTGAAGCTTCTTCCAACCAAGGGGATTTGTCTCAGAGCTTTGTGAAAGTATGAGCTTCTCCAATGAATCATTTGGAAGGAACTCATACACAACAGCTCGCCGAAATCTATCGGCCCAAAAGCCAACCAAATGGACCATGTTGACATGGTGAACTGTTCCACTTGTTGCAACTTCCCTGATGAAGTCATCCCCATTTCCCATTGCATTGTTGAGGATTTCACGGCAACAAAAGTGTCATCACAAAGCTTCCCTTTGTAAATAGTTCCATAGCCTACTTCACCCAATCTGTCACAGAATCGATTGGTGATCCTTTTGATTTCGGCATAAGTGTATCTCATCAGCTTGCGAGTTGTGTAATCTTCCAAAAATATTTCAATTCTTATGCCGTTCTCTTTTTTCACTTTATTTGAGCTACGGACATAATATTGCAGTGAGTGTTATCAGGAGAAGAAAGAATCTTAAGATTAGACCTGCACACAAACATAATGAGTTAAAGTGTATTTCTAATAGATCCCTAGAATTACAACTAAAGGAGAAAAAGAGAAGAACAAATGGCTAATCGGAATTTTAGACAAATTTTTTTTCAAATTTTCACTTCATCGTTTCAAAGATTAAAAGTTATACATTGCACTTTGAATTTCTTAAAATGGTGACAATGTGCTCTTTTTCTCTCAATCCAGGACATAATTTGCGAAAAAAAAAAATTGGATAGAAGAGAGTACAATGCTACCAAGAAATTCAAACTGAAATATAAAATTAATCTTTTACGAAGGAAAATATCATTCATCCCAAAACAACAGACAACATCACTTGAAATCAAGACAAGCAGTGGCTTCTCTAATACGGAGCATGTAGAGAACAATTAAATAGTTAGCTTCTTGTGCACAAAAGGGTTCCATTGCATTTAATTATCTCACATCACTTACGTATCTAAATGACTCTCCATGTGATTCACAGCTAGCCAACACGAACAGTGCTCATTCTATTGTGTATTTACTTTAACTAATATTTTGTTAAAGTAATCTCTATACATTTTTGAAAATCATTTCATCTTTCCGAATGTAACATATAGCAGATTAGCCATAATCATATAAGGAGTATCTTGACAAATCAGAAAACATGTTAGCAAACCTCTAAATATTGGTCCAGTGGTCGAACATAGGATAATGGATGAACGTCTTGAGTTGAAGTCCCTCTAGTCATAAAAAATAAGAAATAATTACGTAAACTCGAGTGTCTTTATTATGAGTTCAAACAATGCCTGATTAAGAGGATTCTCATGACCAAACAAAAGATGTAGTAGTAGTGCGAAAGCTAAATTGTGCTGGGTTTTCCAGTTTCAATATGGGTAATTGGGTATTTACTGTCAGCTATTATAATTCTTCTGCTTCTTAGAGTGGAGCACTTTGAAGTTTCATATGTGAAGTGACTGAACTGAAAATTAAGGAAAAAAAATGGTATAAGGAATAAAATACCTTTAGATGTCTTGGATTTGGCAACACATGCAATTTCACGTTGTTTGGTATGATTGTTGAGGCTACAAATCTTGTCTGCAGCATGCCACTGGCTGCACTGTGGTTTAGACCAACTCAACTGAAGCTTTTTCTCCTGTTCAAATATGACGCAAGGAACCGATGCGACAGAGCCAATTTGGCTGCAAATATGTCTAATAAAATTCCTCATTGACCATTTGAGACCTCACGGCATACACTTGAATAGTTTTGAAAATGCGGCAGTTACGTAACCGTAACGGCAGACAGTTATCCTGTTACATTCCAATTTTCATAGTTGTAACGCCCGTTACAGTTCCATAACGCCCGTAATGGCCAATCCGGGTCAAATTGAACCGTTTCATTCCGTTACGACCCGAAGACCCAAGTGAATTTATAGTACAGTACCCGTTAAATTCCATCTTCAAATTCAGTTGCTCAACTTCATGGACGACGACCGCAAGAGAAACACTGTCCTAAAAAGATTGATGTGCTTGAAGAGGACCACAAAATCGCCTTTGGAGAGCCTGTCGCTCTCTGATTTCATCCCAGAGATAGCCATGCCGTTGTTGGAGGTTTGGAGCTGAGTGTTGGTACAAAGGTTTTCTAGAAGGGGATTTGGGGAGAAGAAAAAAAACCGGATTTCATAGGATTTCATCTTGTCAAGAAGCCATTAGAGAGAGAGAGAGAGTTTAGGGAGATATGTATTGGAGAGACTGAATAGGGGAAAGTAATGGCTGAATTGGACGGAGTAGATGAGGAGGTTGTTGGGAAGTGGAAAGGCTTTGATTACTTCACAGCTGTCCATCACTATTGCTTAGTAGGTAAGCATAACTTATTTGGGCAATAAATAAACCGTGTGATATTATAATGCTTGATGATATGTCAAACTCTAATTTAGTGGAAGAGAAATTTTTATCGACAAAATGTGGTGATATTTTTAAAAAACTAGCATTATAGTTTACTTTTATTTTTAATTCATCTGGTGTAATGTAGTTAGAATTAATGTAATTGTAGTAATATTATATTGTTGATTGGTCCTAAACATTTGTATAGTGCGTAATCACAAAAGTCTAGATGATTGAAGTGAAAAGAGGAGGTAGACAAATTTAGGTGTTGAAGCTGTACCAGAAGGCAATCCTGTGGGTTATATAGGTGAATTATTTGAGATGTAAAATCAATGTTCTCGACGAATAACTTCACTGAAAAAGGAAGCTCGAGAACTGTTTGGTGATTCTCAAAGCCACAGACTTGGGCCATGGTCACCACTACACTTGGATTTCCACTCAACTTCTCGGCCTGCAGCTTCAAAACCCACTGCAAGGCATCCTAACCCTAAGAAGAAGAATATTTGAAGAAGGGAAAGAAAGTTAGCTATATCTGTCGATGTATTACTTTTTCGACCATTGGATATGATGGATCTGTTCAGTTGGTATTCATATATACCTTCAAGTAATTCATCAACATTCTCAGGAGTGTCCCAACCAACCTTCCTTTCGTCCTGTTGATCCATCGCCTTGTCCATCCCCTCCGCCGTTGGAATATCAAAATACTCATCTACTCCATTCAAAAAATAAAATAAAAGTCAAACTTCACTCTATTTACTTGTAGTTAAGCTCATTCGCAGATTACCATGCACATATTTAAAAATATAACAATGCTACACATATCAACTTCCTATGCAATTTTTATGCACCGACTTAACATTGACTGTTGGATTAGTAGGTTTCATAAAATTTATTAATACTCAATGACTTTGATTGTGCCACATTAGGTGGTGTAAGAAAAGTGGTACATAAGGGTAATGTTCACAATATTATTCTTAAAAAGAATCACATCATCCTGCAAATGGACTAAAATAAGGGTGGGGTTATTCTCATCCCTTAAATCTCATTTTTCACCTCATTTACTCCTCTTACTTCAAACTATTAAGTTTATCTCATCTATATAGCAACTTCATTAGTTACTAAACTCACACCATCTATATTCACTAATTAAAAACTAAATTTATTCAATTTTATTTTAACCTACTATATTGGTAATGATCAAAAATTTATTTTAGTATATTATTTCGATACGAAAATATTTCAAAAGAAAAATAAAAAATTATTATTATTTTTAAAATATTTGTCAAAATATCTTAAAATATGTCAAAATATTTCAAATGGCCACATTGGAATTAATTTATGATATTCAAGGCGCAATATGAAAAAAAAAATAATCTTTCAGGATATAAAGTGGGAATTGAGACATCTTTCGGAGTGCAAAGTACGAAAAACTCTAAAATAAAATAAGATTGTTTGGGAATGATTTTAAACTTTTTGGGATTTATCCCAAGTAACCTCATTTTGTTGTATTTTGACCACCCTCAGATATTATAACTTAACCTTCAAATACAGTTATTTTTCGGTATTGTATACAAATTAACTTTTTGATCATGGACATTTTACTTAATTTTGGGTGCAGTATAAAATTTTATTTTTCAGTTAACACATATTTACCAATAAAATGGGGAATGTTAGTCAACTTCATCGTGATATTTTCTTACTTCGGTTAATGTTGGAAAATGAATGATAACTGTCCATGCTCTTGGACCCAATAATTTGGTCAAATGGTTATTTTCCGTTCATACTCTTATTAAATTTCAAAGTTGGATTCGTGTTGTCCGCTAAGAAGGAGCTTTTTACCAAATCGGTTGCAAAACAATTCTCATCCATATTTCATTCAGTAGGTGTTAACTCTCGTCTATAAGTTGATGATGCCATGGTGGTAGTAATCTCAAGCACATAGTATTGACGCCTATGAACTAACATCCTATTGTTTTCATTTTGGAGTTGTCTAACTGCTAATTTGTAGTCTTCCCTATTCATTCTTTGCATCGCCAGTGAAGGTCAGTGTAGCACGGGTGTACAAAGTTCTACTAGTTCCATGTGTAATGTGTTTAATTCATTAACACTAAATGTCTACTATTGGTATAATACTTTTTTGGATCAATATATTGCTCACTTTTATAATCTTCGCCTCTTTCTTTTAACAATTACGTTCGTTTTCGCACCCAAATGACATGTTTATCACGACTATACAAAAAAGCTAGCACGAAAAACTGTAGAGATTTTGTGTTGAAGACGTCAATCAGACTGACGTTGTTAAGTTAAGAATGTCAGCTGAATTGACATGTTTAAAATGTATCTACATTTGGAAAACCATTTCAAAACTACCCCATTTCGAGAATTTTTTTTGTCAAACCGGCAGGGTTTGGTAAAAAACTCTGCTAGGTTCTATACAATAAATGTGAAAAGCTTACATTTACTAAGCACTTCACACACAAAAGACCAAGCGGTACATTTTACAAATTTTGGTATCAATTATACTAGAGACCTAAGATTCAACCTGGTTTTCATAAGGGTTAATGGGCTTTGAGCAATTCTATTTGTACATAATGTACTGATCTAATTTGCTAAGATAATCAATTGTTTTTATTGGATTGGTAGCAAGCCTAATATTGCTTGGAGCCCGCTATGACAATGATACATTAGATCAACAACTTAAGTTCAAACAATATTTTTATACAATTTAAGTTGAACTTAAGTTCAAATTTTGGTATCAATTGTTTTTATTGCCTTTTGTTTGGCTGGCATTCAAACAAAAAGCCAAAGAAACACACACAAACAGAAACCTAACATGAAAACCATCAAATTCTCAAATGGGTGGTGACAAAATGTGACGAAAACGGAGCAGTAATCATCCCCCCTGCAGGTAAGCTGGTTGGCGCCATTAAGGTAGCAAACCCCCCTATCGCAATTTTTGCACCCAACTTTAAACAATGAAAGTTCAAATCATATAGCATGTCGTGGTAGATGTATGAAGTAAAGACCTTATTATCGTCCTTAAACCGCCACGACGTCAGCACCATTTGATCTATAGTGCACATATGTATTGCATCCTCAGCCCTTATGCGTCCAACAAAAACATAAGAGTAAGAGTGGACAACTGATAACAGTAACAAAAACATAAGAGTAGATTTTTATTTTTGATTTTATTTCAATAAATGTTATAATAGCACATGAATTTTAGTAATAAAATCTAAAATATTTGATATTCTATCTTTAAGTGGAGTATTTTTTTGTCTAAGAATAATATTTTAAACTTGAGGGGTCTAAGTATTACACGCCTACAAATTTTAGGAGGGTCTAGGTGTAATTTATTGATGTTTATACTAACGGACATTGACGACAGAGTCTAAGTGTTACACGTGTTTAAAATTAAGGAGTCTGTGTGTAATATTTTAAAAGTCAAAAGATCTGAATGATTAAGAGACAAATTTCAAAGAGTTCTAGTTAATTCTTTTGTTTTCTATAACATTTAAGTCTCTTTAAACAACCTAACCAAAAAAAAAAAAAAGTCTCTTTGAACAGATAATCGTTCAAATTCTACAAACTTTCAAATTTCACAAATAACCTCTCTCTCTCTCTCTTAATGTTTTGTCACGAAATTATTAATGTTATCAATCCAATCTCATTTGTCTCTGCAACACATTTCCTTTACTTGCACTTATTGCTTGAACGTGGAAATAACTCGCCCATACATACAGAGCAATGCTATTGGGACATATTTGTGATTCATTTGTGATAATTTATTATGTTCCTAAATTATGTGTCAATAACATTAATGATACATATATGTTGAAGTTTTGTGATTGAACATCATTATCGCCACAAAAAGTCTCTCTCTCTCTCCCCCCAAAAAAAATAGCAGAGTATTATTAATCCATAGTACATCTTTTTTTTTCGAAAGGTAAAGTATATTAAAAAAAAATAAAAATACAAAGGATAATCACTCACACATTGTACACTGACATCACATAGAACTCAAAAGACAAACATCAAAAAATCAAAAACGCCAAAACATAAAGAACAATTCTGTAGGAGATGCCCTGGTGAGTATCTCCTACAGAATTGTTAACACGAGTACATTGGTACACATAAACAGAGCATGTCAGCAAGCCAGCAACCATGACGGCCAACATAGAACAAACCAAATCAGCCCAACAAAAAACAGCACCAGGAAGTCATTTGCACCAATAAAATCAGCACCAACAATCAGCACAACACACCACACCATAGCAAGCCAGCAACCATGACGGCCAGCGAAGACAGCACTAGGAAGCCATTTGCACCAAAAATCAGCACTAGCAAGTCATTTGCAGAGCAGAACAGCCCAGCACTACCCAGCAAATCAGCCCAACAAAAATAGTACCAGGAAGCCATTTGCACCAATAAAATAGCGCCAGCATGTCATTTTCAGAGCATAATAGCCCAGCACTACCCAGCAACAACAAATATGAAGAAGATAGCCCCAACAAGCAAGTAAGCCAGAAAAAAACGTACAGTAGTGAGGCTGAAGAGACAGCACAGCCAACAAAGGCTTCCCCCCCCCCCCCCCCCCTCAAAAAAAAAAAAAACCCATCCCAGGGCAGAAGCAAAACATAGAAACACTTAGACCAGGCAACAGAGGAGAGGAGCAGCTTTGCATCCACCACGTGGATGATGAGAGGATCAGATGGAGTACCAGATAACTTATACCCTTATGCAGGAACTAGGCAACTGCCATATATGAAATAACCGCATGTTCAACTGAGAGGTTTTGAACTTGGTTGAAGACATTCTGTCCATAGTCCATCTTTCTTTCCAGGTAATTTTGGTTGGAAAGTTTTTGAGTGAAAAATAATGTCTTTTTATGGGTGGCGGTAGGTCACTGCTGAAATAAAAATAGTCAATCAACCAAGAGGTAAGGATACATACACTTACGAGTGTCATTCATATAGTGTTATATTATTTTCGTGTTGTTTTATTTTCGGTATGTGTTGTATTTATGTCAATATTTGTGTTATTTTTTTTTTGGTATGTGTTGTATTTATGTCAATATTCGTGTCGATAAAAAAATATTTAATTATACAACAATTCATACAATATTATTTAAAAAATTATAAAATAATTATTTTTTATATACAATACTCATTAAATATTTTTTTTTTGTTTATACTACCCATTAATCATATTATTTGTGTGTAATTTTAATTTGATCCATTTATTTTACATGGCAGTTAATCGAGTCATTTTCAAATTTTGTGTCAAGTCAAATTCGAGATAATAGATCCTATTCTCCTCTGACGCCATTAGCTTGACAAGGGTGTTAATGATAATTGAAATAATAAAAAAGGTCTGATTGAAAATATATTTATATAAAAAGGGTATAAACGATAATTATCAGAATAGATATCAAGATAGTAGATCCTATTCTCCTCTAACAAATCTTCATTTTGGACGAGATTGGCTTCCTTTCACAGTTCACACGCTACGATTATCTTTTTCTGCACGTAAAATCGTAGGCCCATGCTATCAGCTCCCACGTTGTCAAAAGAGATTCCAGTAAATAATAAATGAAGGACATTGCTTGTCTAAATTTATGAGTAATGTGACGTCCAACAACCCTGTTCAGAGAAATAATGGCGAAGTTTTTCAACACCTTTGCAGGGAAATTGTGACTCACTCCCTTAATCTCTACTCTCCATAAATTCATCCCATAATGGTTAGCTACTGCAAATAGTTATGTTGGCGAAGCTAACCCTTACAGCTCCCAGTACACTGTCTTTCACAATCAAGAAAAGGAGTACTTCAGTTTCATAATATACACGACGCAGAAGAAGACACCGAGTAAAAGAGGTCCAGCCTGCTGCAGATGTTGGGATTTCTCACGATTTAAATTCACTAACAAACACACACAATCGAAGAACAAATCAAAAATATAAAGCAATAAGAAACAAGAAAGAACAAGACACAGATTTTACGTGGTTCGACAATTTACCTACGTCCACGAAGCTGCAGGAATTTCACTATTGAGAGAGTTGAATACAGAGAGCGGTTGTACCATCCACAATTAACCCTAATCACCAAAACAACAGGGTTTATATGTCCTACGCACTGGGCTGTATAACGGGCCCAAAAGCCTTCGCTCCATGGACTAAGCCTCAGAAAATTTTCCATTAAAAACCACACAAACATTATTTCGGATCGAGTCATCATCCGGATCACATATACAAACTACACTCCATAAAAATAAACCAACGGCAGAAGTTCTCCATTAAAAGTAAATTGTTAATCTTTCTAGTGCACCGACCATTGCGCATAACTGTGTTTTAAATAATAGTAAAATATAAAAATATATTTTATTAAATATGTTTACTGACCGTTGTATCATTCTTTTTAAAATTTTGTTTTATTCATTGTATTCGTATTATATTGTATCTATATCATATATTCATATCCTTGCTTCTTAGAAATAGACCAAAACAAGAAAATATATATTTATCAGAATTTATAAGCTAATAATTATTCTTATGATCATAGTTAAAAAAAAGAGTGGGGGCAATTTTCACCCCTTAAATCTCTTGTCCCGTCTCATTTAATCATTTAATCATGTTCCATATCCCATTATTTATTAAGTTTACCTCATTTATATTCATTCAATTAAACTATTAAATATATGTTAAAGAAACCGAAACAAAAATATTAATCGAAATGAATATCTTTATTATTTTGATATATTTTTACGAATATCTTTAAAATGTTTTGAGGTGTTTTAAAATATTTTAAAAATAATTATTAATTTTTATTTTGCTTCTGAAATATTTTCATACAGAACTAATACTTGATCATTACTTATATAGTTGGTTAAAATAAAATTGCACAAATTTAATTTTTAATTAGTGAATATAATTAGGTTGAGTTTAATAATTAATGAGGTGAATTTAGTAGTTTGAAATAAAATAATAAAATGAGATGAAAAAGGAAATTTAAAGGATAAAAATGTCCCAAAAAAAAGGGTGATTTACAACAAACTATATGACAGTATTTCTCACTCTTTACACTAAACTCTAATATCAACGCAAAACAAAATCAACTTATTTTTTGGGCGAGGTTATTCCAATAAAAAGACGATTCTTTCTCTATTCATGTGCGAGTAACATCATATTATTCAAAAAATGATATATAAAACAAGAGTCCAAAGAGTAAGATAATTAATATGATAAGTAAATTATTAATTTTAAATAAATAAAAATGGGACCAAGTATTACTCATTAATATTACAATGCCTGATCATTTGATTTTTATTTTTTTATTCTATTTCTTGCTAGAAAACAGTTTGGTAAAATAATGACCAGGGAAATCCGTTCTTAAGTCATCACTATTCGTCTTCTCCAAGATCTGGTGTGCCTTCTTCTTCTCCAAATCATCCTTTGTCTTCTCCAAATCAAGCACTCGAACAGCGGCACACGACACCACACCACAAATCTAGATCTCGAACAGCAGATCTTGAACACCAAACTTCCTCCACTCTGTGTTCTTCGTCTGCTCCAGATCGAGCTCTCAAACAACATCTTCTTCAAATCGAACATCAGACGTTTTCTTCTTCTTTCTCTCTCTCTCTCCACGTAGACACACACTCGTGGTAATGGAGAGAGATGTTGGGCTGGGTATTGTCTTTTTCGCTCTCTCTTTGCACACGCGCAGATTATACCATTTATTTTTTTATGGTGATTAATAATTTTTTAGTAAAATTATTATATTATATATATTTTTTATTTTTTTATTAAAAGACTGGTTTGACTTTGATCCGATGGTTGAACCAATAAATTACTGAACCGGTCACTCGGTCGATTCAATATCCGATTCTGATAATATTGCATATGAGTAGCAACTGAACAGATCCGACGTATACAATAGTCGAAAAAGACATCAAATCCTTCAGGATTTCAACAGAAAATACAGAGACGTGCCTTGTGGGAAACGTAAAGGCATCGGTTGATAGGGCATCAGTTTCACCTAATTTTTTGTCGAAATTCGTTGTCGAGCCAGGATCTTGTTGCTTCTTATTGACTGGCTGATAGGGGTGCCCATCACATGTTCTTCATTTTGAAAGGTCGGTAGGCACTTGAAAATTTTCATTTCATTCCATTTCGTTTAAGCTTAATACTCCCTATATATATATGACCATTCACTAGAAAGTAATGCATGAAACATTGAGTTTAACAAGTTAATAATCAACAGATATGGCTAGCTTTCTTTCCCTTCTTCAAGTATTCTTCTTCTTTGGGTTAGGGTGCCTTGCAGCGGGTATTGAAACTGCAGCCCAAGAAAATGGGTGCAGATCCAAGTGTAGTGACCATGGTCTAACTATTCGTTTTCCATTCTGGGGTAATAAAACCATCCACCACCCACATCGCTGCCGCTATCTAGGATTCGAGTTATCATGTGACTTTGAGACCCATCAAACAGTTGTTGAGCATCCTTTTTCAGTGAAGTTATTCGTCGAGAACATTGATTTTACATCTCAAATGATTCACCTATATGACCCACATGATTGCCCTTCGGTACAGCTTCAATATCTTAATTTGTCTACCTCCCCTTTCCACTTCAGTGATCCAAACTTGTGTGATCACTCGTTGTACAAATGTTTAGGACCAATCAACAATATAAATGAAGTATATCCTGTTCCTTGCCTCGGTGACCACTCCGGCTATCAAGTGTATGCCTTGAGGTCTCAAATGGGCAATGAGGAAGCTTACTTGACATCTTGCAGCCAAATTGGCTCTGTCCCATCTGTTCATTGCGGCATATTTGAACAGGAGAAAAAGCTTCGGTTGAGTTGGTCAAAACCACATTGCAGCCACTGTGAAGCTGCAGACAAGATTTGTAGCCTCACGAATCATACCAAACAACGTGAAACTGCATGTGCTGCCAAATCCAAGACATTCAAAGGTATTTCATTTCTTACACCATTTTTTTTCTTTGATTTTCTGTTCAGTCACTTCACATATGAAACCGCAAAGTGCTCTACTCTAAGGAGAAGAATTACAATGGCTAACAGTGAATACCCGTATTGAAACTGGAAAACCCAACACAATTTAGCTTTTGCACTACTACTACGTCTTTTGTTTTGTGATGGGAATCCTCTCCATCAATTGAACTCTTAATACAGACACTCGAGGGTACGTAATTATTTACTATTTTATATAATTAGTGTGACAACTCAAGACATGCAGGTTAACACCTTGTCCCATGTTCGATCATTGGACCAATATTTAAGGGTTTGCTAACATGTTTTTTACGAGGTGTAAGGTACTGGCATTTCATAAGATTGCTAACATGTTTTTCTGATTTCTCATGATGCTCCTTAAAATTATGGCTAATCTGCTATATATATGTCACATTCTGAAAGTTGAGAATATTCTCATTCAAAGGTACACATACAAGCCTATATTAACCTATCTTTATTTTAAAAAATATATAGAAATTGTTTTTGTTTTACCTTTTGAGAAATTACTTTTGGATTAAAAAGTGTTTGCCTTAAGGGTAGATTATTTATCGGTTGGGAAAACCCTCGCAAGTTCTTGAAAATTAGTATCCTAAATTCATATTCCTACAAGTGTGCCCAAATCACCAAGCAATATACCCATGCGATGCTACAGGTAAAGGCATCTGCTTTACACATAGAAATACTATACGTTCTCAGAGATAACTATAAAATGATTAAACCTATGAAGATATGATAGAAACCCATCCAAGAGGAATAAGCATATACCACACTATTCTAAAGATTTTTGCATAGCCAGCCATTGTTCAACAAGCCTCTGATACTATATTCAAAAACTTTCTCCATTCTTCTCTCACCACCCCAAAACTTAAAAAAAAAAAAAAAAACGTCCTCCAAAAAACTGGATGTATGGATTTTTCGCTTCTGACTGGACAGTTTGTTACTATTTTTTTGGATAAATAGTATTCATTGTAATATTTATATCACGTCAGATTGTCACGTGGTATAAACTATATAATAATAAATAAACAAGTAGATAAAATGAAATCATGAAATCCATCTTTTTTATAAGGGATGGTTATTTTCTTAGATGGAGAGTAGTTATTTGAAGAAGTAGTTAGGTCCATTTTGTCTACTTGTTGAATTATCATTAGAGGATCATATCTTATAAAAATACCAAAATAATGTAACTGTAATAATGAATATTTTAATTAACCCCAAAATAATATATGGGTGGCAGGCAGTGGAAAGATATTTTGTTGTTTTAGCATTTTTTTTCCAGAAAGTTATATTTGTAATTTATTTACAATTAGTAGGGTTAAATGAAAATGAAATTTGGTGTATAAAACAGTTTACTTGTTTCAGTTTCAGGGTTTGGAAATTGTAGAATGGCAGGCCTTGTACTATGATTTGAAAAGAAACTCTCAGCAACAGATGTTTCACGTTATCTGGAGATACCAAATTGGGCACTTGACTTACCTGCTGGAAATGAGATCATGCATGTACTGGACCCAAATGGAGAGACCTCCTGGGTGTTTATATGTTCGACAAGGACTAGCGGTCGACGCTCGATGACATATCAATGGTGCAGTTTCACAGCGGGGAAGAGACTTATGGCCGGTGACGTACTCCGATTTTATTGGTCGATGATCGAAAATGTGTACCTGATGGAGCTTGAACGCTGGAGCATCCGACTCTTTGGGGTGACCATCACCATACCATATACATGGGCTGAAGCTGAAGTTCCATGCATATGCTAGACCAGGCTTGTAGCCTAAAAACAAGTCATAACAGGTTCTGTTAGCATTTAAACTGATGAGATTTTTCTGAAATGCTCCATGATGAAGACACGTGTTCTCGGTATAACCAAAAAATACTATTAATAAGATCAAGCACCATCGGCGCATAAAGGTCCTCGCTCCCGAGGTACTCGTCATATAGGATCATGCATTCAGTATGTTCTACAACTAACACGTGGCCTCGGTCTAATATGGTACCTCGGTCGGTATCCCTCCCTCGGTTCCGAGATGAGCCTCTCCTCGGTACCCAGGTGTACCCGTCCTAGACACCTCCTCTACTCCAGGATAAGCTATTGACGTACAGGTCATTAGTCTAGGCTATTCATCATGACCTCGTCTTACACAATTAGTGTTAGAACGTACTGGAATGCAGGGGCCACAGCCAATGAGGGATGGACGCGTGGCATATGATATCACATCGAAGACAGAGAAACCGCATGCCGTTGCTGACACGCGACTTAGGAAAGTAAACTATTAATTACATCATTCCCTTGATGAGACCTCATTCAATGCGGTAAGGCTCAGAAATGAAAGGCAATAAATGCTCCTAATACAGAGCATTTATTGCATCCTCCCCGAGAGGAGTACATTGTACCGTCGGCATCCCGATGAAACAGCATTGATTGCTCGGGACCCCGAGCAGTTAAGAAGAGAAGACATTCCTCATCAAAATCAGTGCGCACACTGCCTGTACCTAATGATTACCTACTGACTACACTGACAGCAATCATGAGCTTTTGAGGTATAAATACTCCTTGCAAAAAGCAAGACGGGTACGCAACAAAAAACTCTTTACTACAATACACACTCAGTGTTTTATCCTTCCTGCTCTCTCTCTCTCAAAAACTGACTAGATCGTCGGAGGGGATACGCCGAAAAATACTCCGGCACCCTTCTAACTTGTTTTTCTTTGTTCCAGGAACCTCCTTCACCCTTACTGGATCGTTCTTCCGCTCCCCCAGGGTCTCCCGTTGCCGTTTCAGGTTACCACCGGACCTCGCAAGCTGTTCCAAGCAGCGTGATTGGTCACTCAACTGGCTCACTCGAAGTTCACTAAGGGAGAGATCTGTTCTCGTTTTTTATATTGTGCAGGATCTTGCACGCACAATCTGGCGCCGTTTGTGGGAAACGACTAGTTTTCCTAGTTTTTTCTCTATAAAGAACAGTGACCATGGTGAACACTCGATAGAAAGGGAAAGGCCCCCACCAAAGGAGTCTCGAGTTACAAGTTCCCTGTCATCACGGAGGGAGGGATCACACCAATACGAATAAAAGTGCCTCTACTCGGTCAAGAGGGGTTACCCCTCAAACCAGTATGGGAATCAGGTCAGGGGGATCAGCCCCCTTGGCTCGTCAGCTGGCGGAGGTGATTGAAGAAAAATTTGGCGATAGATTACGTCAGTTGGAAAAGGACAATGTAAACATCCTAAGCCGGCTCAACGAGTTTGCCGCCTCTGGCGAAGGGTCGAGGGATTCATTCCTTTCCCGTGGGCTTCCCGCCCGGGAGGCGGAAACAAAAGATCTAAGAAACCACCTAAACAACAAAGCAGAAAGCTCTAGGGCCCCAAAGCGACCCAGAGCCGGCGAACATCATCGTGACAACCATTCAAGGAAAGCAAGGCCATTGGCCCTGGACGACCTCCGGCGAGGTTTGTCTAGACGGAGGAAGGGAGATGAATCCGAGGAGGACTCAACCCAATCCACACGACGCCCAGGAAATGAGGGGCTTACGGATGAACTCAAGGACTTCAGAAGGCATCCCGTCAGGGAAAAAATTGATCTCAAAGCCCGGTTAGACTCCAGAAAAAAAGGTAAGGCTGTTCAGGATGAGGCCGAGGACGAAGTCATGCAAACACCTTTTACGAGGGAGATCAGTGAGATGGAGGTCTCAAGAAAATTTGTCGTGCCGCGGTTCAAAACTTATGACGGGCGGTCCGATCCCGAAGCCCATGTCAGGCAATACAAGCAGATGATGTCCCTCTATCATTCGGACCAACGGTTTCTCTGCCGAGTGTTTCCTATGAGCTTGGGGGACTCTGCGATAAAGTGGTTCGAGGCGCTTCCCCCCAACAGTATTGGGTCCTGAAAGGAATTGACTAAGCAGTTCCTGGTTCGATTTATTACGGGGAGTAAGCGCCCCAAAGACATTGGATCATTGCTGACCCTCAGACGGAGGGAATCCGAGACTCTTCGCCAGTACGCCATCCGATACTGGGAAGAGGTCAATGAGGTAGAAGGCTGCTCGGAGGTCATGGCAGCAGCATCTTTCTGGCTCGGCTTGGCAAGGGACACGGACCTGTATCGATTCCTGACCAAGAAGACCCCCTCGGATATGGGGAAACTAATGACTCGGATAAACAAATACTCGAGGGTTGAGGACGAGATGGGAAGCAGCAAAGGCCGAGCCCTCCAGTCTAAGAGAAAAGAGAAAGAGCGGGAAGATATTCCCCAAAAGGGATTGCTGCCCCCTCCAGGGGGTCCGTCCAAAGGAATTCACACTGTTTCCAAGGAACCCATCTTCAAGCTGCTCCATAAAATCAAGCACGAGCCGTTCTTCAAATGGCCGCCCAGGATGCAGAGCGACCCCACCACCCAAGATCAAAAGGTTAGGTGTTCCTATCACCAGGATTTCGGGCACCGCACCGAAAGCTGCAGGGTGTTCAAATCGTTCTTGGAAAGATAGGTCCGAGACGGATATTTGAAAGAGTACATAGAGCCCAGGCCAGAAGAGAGACAAGCCCATGCCCCGACCGAGGAACCGGACAACATCATAGATGTCATCCATATATGTCCCCTGGATCGCCCCACGTCCAAGGAACTCGAGTCCGACCTTAAAAGGGTAGTTTTTACAAGAAAGGTAGCCGAGGTTGATGTAGGGCCACCAAGTAAAAGGGTCAGGACGGGTGAGCTTGACATTACATTCTCTGACGCGGATTTGACAGGCGTAATGACTCCCCATAACGACGCCCTTGTCTTGACCCTGAGGATAGGGAAATTCGATGTCAAAAGGATTTTGATAAACTTTGGAAGCTCCTCGGAGGTGATGTACTTCGAAACTTTGAAACGGATGGGTCTTGGCCCCAAAGACCTCACCAAAGTCAGGACACCCCTCATCGGGTTCAACGGCTCATTCGCCCTGCCCGTGGGGAAAATCACGTTGCCAGTTGTCACAGGTCCCTTTATCATCGACACCGAGTTTGTTGTGATCGATACGGACTCTCCCTACAACATGATTATGGGGCGAACATGGCTGCATGCGTTGGGAGCGGTGCACTCCACTTTCCACCAGAAATTAAAATTCGCCACGCCAGAAGGTATCATGGAGATCCGGGGGGACCAAGCGTCCGCGAAAAATTATTTTTATTCAGCCGTTCGAGCCGGGGCGTTCAGCCAGGAGAAGGGGCGAGCACCGAAAGAGATTATGGAAAAATAGCAATTACAGTCCGGGCGTCCAGGAATGGATGACCCCCGGATAGACCCAACTGAGCGGTCGGTAGAAGACCTCCGGAAGGTGCCCTTGGTAGAGGGAGAAGAAGAAAGGTATTTCTTAGTTGGGACCTCCATGCCCACAGCAGAACAGGAGGAGATGATCGGGTTCCTAAGGGGAAATACAGATGTGTTCGCATGGAACGGAATGGAAATAACGGGCGTAGACCCCGAGATAATCACACACAGGCTGCATGTTGACCCGTCGCACAAGCCAGTCAAACAGAGGCCACGACGCATGGCCCCGCATCACACCAGCGCAGTCAACGAGGAAATCGACAAACTCCTGAAGGCCGACGCCATTCGAGAGATACAGTTCTCGGAATGGTTGTCTAATACGGTGTCCGCAAAGAAGAAAGGGGGGAAATGGCGTGTCTGCGTAGACTTTACAGATCTAAACAAGGCATGTCCCAAAGACGACTACCCCCTGCCAAAGGTGGACCAGCTGGTAGATGCCACTGCCGGATATGAACGAATGGACTTCCTGGATGCCCGAGCAGGATATCATCAGATCCCTCTCTATCCCCCGGATCAGGAAAAGACGGCGTTTATCACTCCGAAGGGAGTTTACTGTTACAAAGTGATGCCGTTTGGACTAAAGAACGTCGGGGCAACATACCAAAGACTAATGAATCGGATGTTCAAAAAGCAGATCGGCAACACTATGGAGGTCTACATAGACGATATGCTGGTAAAGAGCAAACGGAGTTGTGATCATCTGACAGATTTGGCGGATACCTTCTCCACCCTCAGGAAGTATGGGTTGAAGCTGAATGCGGCGAAGTGCATTTTCGGAGTGGAATCAGGTAAATTCCTCGGATGCCTGGTTAGTCAACGAGGAATCGAAGCCAACCCGGATCAGATTCAAGCGATCCTGGACATCCGGAGCCCCCGCACTGTCCGAGAAGTCCAGAAACTCACAGGGATGCTGGCTGCACTTAATCGTTTCGTCTCACGCTCCTCGAAAAAATACAAACCCTTTTTCGGAGCAATCAAGTGTGCTGAGAAGAATATGTGGAGCCAGGGGTGCGAGGACGCCCTGGCTGGAATCAAGAAATACCTAAGGACTCTTCCAACCTTGTCCGTCCCCATCCAAGGGGAGATGTTGTTCTTGTACCTGGCAGTATCTGAGTTTGCGGTAAACGGGGTACTTATCCGTGAGCATGAGCACCGCCAGAAGCCGATTTACTATATAAGCAAGGCGCTCCCGGACGCAGAGACAAGATATCTACCCCTAGAAAAACTGGCTCTATCCCTGGTCACTGCTGTATGGAAACTGCGGCATTATTTCCAGTCGCATCCAATCACTGTCCTTACCGATCAGCCCTTGAAAGCAATCATGAGAAAAGCGGAACTCTCCGGAAGGATTTCCAAGTGGGCAATAGAGTTGGGGGAGCACGATATTCATTTCAAACTCTGAATTGCGATAAAAGGTCAAATATTGGCAGACTTCATAGCTGAGTTTTCGGGGGAGC